CACTTAATAGGCTATCAGGTGCCCCTTTTAATTTCTGCAATATGTATAATTGGTTAAATGTGCATGTGTATTGATGCCAACTGTAAGTTAGATTTTCTCAGGTGTGCACAGCTATGTGGCTCACTCATGACCGCAACCGTACATAGCCTAGTCCAGGGGTGGCCAACCCACGGCTCTTTGCTTAAAAAAATGCAGCTATTGCTAATTCTGAGCTGTGTGCCTAGACTGCTCACAGCCGGCTGCTCTGTGCACACGCCCTAGTGCCTGGAAGGAGAAGCGTGTGACGGTAGCAGCAACTCCAGGATGCAGGAATTGGGTTAGAGTGGGGGGGGGGGATAGCATTGGGTTAGAGCAGGGGGGCTGTGAGTGCCTGGCTCTGGGGGAGAGAAGGGGGATTAGATTAGAGCGGGGGGAGGGAAGATGAAGCACCTTAAACTCAAAGTCTTCGTGGATGCAGAATAAGGTAGCCAACACAGATGTCATATTTAAATTCCAGGGCAAAAAAAGAATCAGCATGTACCTGGTTTACACTGTGTTTCTTTAAAGAAAATTCAAAGGCTATTGTTTGCCAGGATGATGCAATTATTCTGAGATATGAGTCTCTCCCTTATTGTTTTTGAACCTCTCATATTTGCAGTCTGGGACAGACCTGAATTTTTAGAACTATAGAAAAGCCATATTCTTCATAAGTAAAAAAAATGAGGAACCCATACTAGAGATCAATAAGCTGGAGTGAAACTGGCATCTCAAATTGTGCTAATTTACTTCTCAGGTCTGTTTAATTTAAAAAAAACTCACAGGACATAATAGGGCAGTAGTGTTACATTTAAAATACATGGGGGGGGATGATTTTTTTTAGTGAGAGAATATTATTGTGTTTTTAAAGGGGCTTTTTTTTTTATCTGATGTTTGTTCCTTGTCAAGTTCTCTGAAGATCTTTGGACTGGCTGTGAATTTTTTAAGTAACTAGAGACTTTTTTATTGGTTTTTGTCCAAAATATCCTGTAATGTTATTTTTATCACTACATTTTGTATACTATATCCATTTATCTATTGATCTATCGATCGATCAATATATAAAAATAAATATATAATTCATGGTTCTTTGCTCTCTAGCCACAGCTATTTTGGCTCTTCATCTCTAACTGGTTGGCCACCCCTGGCCTAATCCATAATATGAACAGCACAGCTGACCAGTGTTCCCTGTAAACTGGGTACTTGGGCAGCTGGTTGAGAGAGGTTCAAATGCTGCACAACTGATTAGCACAGCACCCACAGCTAGGTTTTGTGTTTCTGTGGGTGGTGCACATAAAATGTATTCCTCACATGGGTGGAAAAAAATCCATGCTTGGATGGGAAAGATTGCAACTGACCAATACGCTTACTTAGCTACCAGCGGCAGGTGAGCTTTGTGGTGCTGAAATCAAAGTCCCTGGCTTCATTCTATGGTATGAAAATGTGTGTCTTTTACAGTGGTGCTGGAACAGTTTTTAGGGCGGGGTTGCTGAGCTGCACCCTGCCTTATGCCATCTGTGTCCCTCACCATCCAGGACTGAAGCCACAATTGGGGGTGGCTAGGACCCGAGGGCCTGCAGAAGAGCCTCTCTTGGGGCCGGCAGCCAGGACTTAGAGCCAGAGGACAGGACCCAGGGCAGCAGTGGGACCGATGGCCAGGACCCCATAGAGGCTGGCAATAGAGGCTGGGATCCCAGGCAGCAGCAGGTCTCCTGGTCCAAGCTGGCAGACCCCAATGCAGTAGTGGAGACACTGAGGCCGAGAACCAGGGGGTGCTGCAGTCAAAGAACTTCTGTTCTCTCCCTTGCAGTGCTTAGACCCATGTTTCACTGAAAGTCTTAGTCTCTTTTTACAGGCTGATACCTTAAGTAGCCATGTTCTCCTATTACATGCCTCCTTTCTTGCTGGTGGGCAGAGCTGGCTGCAAAGTATCTGTCCTCCTACTGTTCAGCTCATCTTGTCTTGGCCAGTGGGCTCCTTTCCTCCTCCAGCCTCCAGCGCAGGGTCTTTCCGGGGAATGGCTCTTACAGGCTGACTGTTATTTATTTGCTTTGAAGTGATGCCTAGGAACCCCAATCATGGAGCAGGACCTCAGTGTGCTAGGTAGTGTACAAACTCAGGGCAAGAAGATAATCGCTGCTCCAGAGATCTTACATAATGCCTTCTCCAGTTCATCAGTGTTAAACACCTATGTGCAGTGAAACAGACATACTCACTTGGAAAGGAAACAGTGGCATTGCCAGCCAGTGATGTAATGAACGCAGTCTGCTAGAAGAGCTTGTCTATAGGTCACATTTCCCATTAGGACAGTCAGATGTCTGACTCCCCTAAGCTCATGAACAAATGATTCAGGAGACTATCCTATGGGCAATGCTAACTGGGTTCTGAAATGATTGAACTTTACATAATGAAAAACAACCCCCTCAAGTCAGAAGATCTGGGAAGCTGCTTGGCCCACTTCATGAAACCACCCAGTAATTTGGCACAAGTGATGGTTTGCTCAGGAGAGAGTCAGCCTGAAGAACAGGTGTGTTACATGCCAGGGCTGAGATGCACTGGCAGCATGAGCACTCCCTTTAGTCATATTTTATCTGGCCAAAGCTAGTTCTCTTACCATTTGCTTTCATACGGCACTCGCGGAGAGAAAATCTTTTGCATCACAGGCAGAGAGAGATTTCTCTGCTGAATTGGGCATAGCATTAGATGTGTTTGTATCAGAGAGAATGGAAGCAGGAACATAGGTGGGAAGAGTTGGAATTGCGGGTGTGTTTCTAGGCCTTCTGAGACAGCAAGTATCTGAGTCTGACCTCACTTCTGACCTACTTCCTGTAAGAAAAGACCCATCTAATCAGCATGTGACCTGGAAATTATTTTGACTTATGCAAGAAGATTTCCTCCCCATTCTATAAAAGATAAATTGTCATGCTAACTCATCATTTAAGTCAATATTCTTGCCAGCAAGTTAAGGGAATATAGATTGGATAAATGGACTGTACGAAGGATAAAAAGCTGGCTAGACTGTCGGGCCCAATGGGTAATGATCAACGGCTCAATGTCAGGTTGGCGGTCGGTTTCTATCAGAGTGCCCCAACGATCGGTTCTTGGACCGATTTTGTTCAGCATCTTTATTAATGAAGTAGATGAGGGGATGGATTGCATCCTCAGCAAGTTCACAGATGACACTAAGCTATGGGGAGAGGTAGATACGCTGGAGGGCAGCGATAGGGTCCAGAGTGACCTGGATAGATCAGAGTATTGAGCCAAAAGACATCTGATGAGGTTCACAAGGACAAGTGTAGAGTCCTGCACTTGGGATGGAAGAATCCCAAGCATTGTTACAGGCTGGGGACCAAGTGGCTAAGTAGCTGTTTGGCAGAAAAGGACCTGGGGATTACAGTGGATGAGAACCTGAATATGAGTCAACAGTGTGCCCTTGTAGCCAAGAAGGCTAATGGCATATTGGGGTGCATTAGGAAGAGCATTGCCAGCAGAATCAGAGAAGTGATTATTCCCCTTTATTCGGCTCTGGTGAGGCCACATCTAGAATACTGAGTCCAGTTCTGGGCCCCCATTATAGAAAAGAAGTGGATGCATTGGAGAGGGTCCAGCGGAGGGCAACCAAAATGATTAGGGGGCTGGAGCGCATGACCTGAGGAGAAACTGAAGGATTTGGGTTTGTTTAGTCTTCAGAAGAGAAGAGTGAGTGGGGATTTGATAGCAGCTTTCAACTTCCTAAAGGGAGGTTCCAAAGAGGATGGAGAGAGGCTGGTTCCAGGAGGGAGGGAGGGGAGGACAAGGAGCATGGTCTCAAGTTACAGTGGGAAAGATCTAGGTTGGATATTAGGAAAAACTATTTCACTAGGAAGGTTGTGAAGCACTGGGATGGGTTACCTAGGGAGATGGTGGAATCTCCATTCCTAGAGGTTTTTAAGTCTCGGCTTGACAAAGCCCTGGCTGGGTTGATTTAGTTGGGATTGGTCCTGCCTTGGGCAGAGGGCTGGACTTGATGACCTCCTGAGATCTCTTCCAGCTCTATGGTTCTTCTTCGAGCAGTGTCCCGTGGGGGCTCCACTGTAGGTGTCGGCTTGTCCCGGCGCCGCAGATCAGAGATCTTTCTAGCCGTAGTCTGCCGGACCACGCATGCGCGAAGTGCGGCTGGTGGCTTTTCGTGGTTTATGTCTGGGAAAGTGTTCTAAGATGGAGTGCTTACAAACTATACTTTTAATATTTAGTTCAGAGACAGGAAGTTGTCTCTTTTTGATGCTTATACCTACATTTATCTTCCAGAGTGTAGTGAATACTCCTAATAATGTAGCTGTTTTAAATATCAACTTTCCAAGTCATTTTGGTTCACTTGAAATGGAACTTTAACAACACAGGGCCTAACCATGTCATCATTGAGTGCAGAAGTCCCAGGGAGATGATTAGAAGTTCATCCTAAATACTCAGGCTCATAACTCCATAACACTTCCCATTTAGACAGAGTAACCCGGCTTTTGGCCAAATTCACAGGATGTAATTTCATGCACAGTTTAAGACCAAGATATATAATATGTATTAATGAATGGAAATAAAGGCAAGATCATTTTAATAAACATTTATTTATTAAAAAATTGAAAATCTATTAGGAGCATACAATGGAAATTTCATAATAAAAAAGTCCACTTAATCACCAAAATGTGCCTTGAACAGTAAATGAATCATTCAATAGCAGCACAGCATTTTTATAGAAAAATGACATTTGTGCCATATCTAAAAGACATAACACGTGACACTGTTGTGATCAACTCCCCTGTGACCTCCACCTTTCGATTAGAACCCCCAGTTTGAAAAACACTGCTATATTAGTTAGGAAAGATTTTTCCTTTCACCATCAGGTGTGCAGAACATAACTGATCAGCTATTCAGATGTTTGGGGATTAGACAAATTGTCTTCCCTTGGCTCCTATGGAAAAAATTAAAATCTAAAAAAATCTATAATAATTTGAATAATAATAAATAATTTTAAAACTATAGTATTTAAATACAGTAAAAATCTTGCTGTATTACATACAATGTTTAATAAATAGGAGGAGCACAAATTCAGTATATCTCTGATAAAAATAAAGTATTTTCTTGCAGTCTCTGGCTCACAAAAATGCCTTTTTCTTGGCAGGGCATATCCAGAAGCTTTCTTCATGATTTTTTTGGCAGTGCACTGAAAAAAAAAATGAAATGAGTTGAGATCAGCACTTATGCACTCAGCCAATGTTATAAGATCTAGACTTGCTTAAAAGGAATATAGTTTTTGGCAAAAATGGCATTATCCCAGTATGTAGTGTTTTGAAAACCAAAAGGAGAACTCCAAAATAACTGATGACCCTCAATTATATATTGTTATAAACAATGAACATTTTGGATCCAGTCTTTCTCCCATTGAAGTCATTGGGTTCATTATTTGGTAAAGGTTGTTTCAGCCAGACATACAAATGAGAAATATTTGACATGAAACAGTAATAGCTGACTTCAGTGAGAACGTCTGGGGGAATGAGATACTTCTCAGGATGAGTTAGGGTACGTCTACACTAGCTCGTTAGTTCGAGCTAGGTAGGGTAATTAGGGCAAGCGGAGTTGCAAATGAAGCCTGGGATTTAAATATCCCGGGCTTCATTTGCATGTTGCCGGGCGCTGCCATTTTTAAATCCCCCTTAGTCCGAACTCCGTGCCTGCGGCTACACGCAGCATAGAGTAGGTAGTTCGATTAAAGATCCTAATTCGAACTACTGTTACTCCTCGTGTTCTCCCTCCTCCTTTTAATATCCTTTTAGGGTACGTCTAGACAGCAGAGCTATTTCAGGATACCGCAGGTATCCTGAAATAACTACCCCGTGTCTTTTAAACGTGCCCATTATTTAAAAATATTTTTCAAAATAACAGGTGCATTGTTCCAGCATCCCTGTAATCCTCGTTCCACAAGGGTTAAGGCATGTCTCGAAATAGCACCTTATTTCGAAATTTGGCTTTGTATAGACACAAAATTTCAAAATAAGCTATTTTGAAATACAATTGAAATAAGATATGTAATTCAGGTAGCACAAATTGTGTATCTTATTTCAAGTTTTGGCTGCTGTGTAGACGCACCCTTCCATACTTGAAAACCACTATCATGTCCCTCAGTCTTCTCTTTTCTAAACTAAACAAGCGGAATTCTTAAGACAACAACCTAGGATCCCATTCTGCAATGCACAGTAATTCATTAAGTTAGTAACTAAGGCAGAGGTGTGTTTTGTAGAACTGGATCCAACACCAGCTTCCTGCAATGGGCTCTGAATCGCAGAAAGTCACACTAATCAGATTTCTGGATATCTGAAAAATCAATAGAAAGCCCTGATTTGCATGTGGTGTTGGAAGACCCTTCCCTTTTTTCTATTGAGTTGTAAATGTAGATAACATTTGTCAGCGAGAGCAGCGGGGAACGGAGGGCGGGGGGCAGGGAGGGTGCTGGAGAGGGCGGGAAATGTCGCTTACGGATCTTCTGGCTTTGGGAGCGTGGCAGCCAATACCAAGTTGCATGCGGGAATACAGGGCAGCTCATCACAAGGCTAGAAATGTCTCATGCTGCCCTAGAGGCCCCCTCCTAACAGGCTTTCCCTATGGACCTGGGCTGATGCTTGAATCAATGTACAGGGCACCGGCAGCGCCCAGATTGGAGCTGACTGCTACTGCGCGCAGGATAACCGAGCCCCCCTCCGCCGGTACCTGTTCAGGATCTTGGTGATGATCAGCTTGACCCAGGGCGCGGCAGGATCCAGACACACTTTCTTGCCGTGCTTCATGGTGGCTCTGGGGGGACAGAGAGGAGTGGGGTGAGCGCGGGCGAGGGGCGCAGGCGGGGCAGGGGGCATAGGCGGGGTGGGACACTTACATCACTTCGGGCACCTCGCAGTGGG